GTTATATTTACACCCATAGAACTAGGGGTTCCCCCCACCACGAATTCATTGGCTGCTATGTTAAGACTTTTTGTGGGAAACAACTTGAAAGAGAGAGGTTTCTGTGTGAAAGCTGCAAGATGTGTTCAGTGATTTGAAATACTTCCAATAAGGTGCGTGTGGAAAACTAAGTGTAAAATGAGGGGAAAATCAACCTGAAACCGTCGTGTGGGCTTGTGTATGCTCACACCGGACCTTGCACTGAAGTTCAAGCCTGGGCCTATTTTGTTTACTTTATTTTTCATTAGAGTGCACCTCTGCCTCAAAGCGGAAGTTAAGTGCCAAATTCCAAGGCATGTCTCTTCTCAAAGTGACTCCAGAAAGATGGGAAACAGGAAGAACTGAAAATCCTGTGAGAAACTCTGTTTGGGGATTTTTAGCTCAAGCTGTATAGATTTAGTGCACAGACTTGTAAATGCTCCATAGAACGCTGGTTCAGAAGATGCATCTTCAGTAAGAGCTGTTTATTTAATCTAAGCTTCCCCAGAAGTTGACAAAGGAATTTTCATAGAGCCTAATAAAAATGTATCAACTGGGCTGGGGATTTAGCTCAGCGGCAAAAGCGCCTGCCTGGCAAGCGCAAGGTCGTGAGTTCGGTTCCTGGTACCGGAGAAAAACCAAAAAAAAAAAAAAAGAAAAAAAAAATGTATCAACTCCACTGTCCACTGTAGTGTATTGCAGTTTTTAAAAACCTGGTACTTACAGTTAATATCTGCATGGTTCTGAATAAAATACTGAGATTTTCCTACCTATATATGGGGGCCTGTGACATGTACGCAGTCTGCATTGCTTTATGCATCAAAGGTGACGAGGGTCTCTAACATGCTACTCAATTACAAGTGTCTTACGAGGACATGATAACAGCTAGCCCTAGTATGTGAATATTTGGCATGTAGACTGTGGACTCCAACTGCTTTTGGAAGTAACAAGGAGGGAGGGCTGACTTCCAAGCAGATCGTAGCCAAAGGGTAGGAAGATCAAAGAAAACAGTCATTTGCAAGCCAAGTATGAAGAAGAGATAAATCAGGGAGATGAGTGCTGTGAGAGGAAACAGAAGAACTGAGAAGGGACCCATCTTCCTGGAGTCGTCTCAGAAATTGTCACCGATACAAAAGATTCGCAAAGTCAGTCAAGAAGGGCTGGAGTAAAGGGCTGCTTGGGTGATCTAGTGAAGAAATGGCGTGGCTGTCTGGGAAGCAGTGTGTGTGTGTGGGTGTGTGTGTGTGTGCGCGCGCGCGTGCGCGCGTGCACGTGCATGTGCACATCTAGAGCAACAGAAGCAATACAATATATATGTGTGAGGGGGTTTGTTAGGCAGACTCCCAGGATCTGAGGCAGGAGAGCCCGCATGCGTGTCTGTGGATTAGAGGCAGGAGGGCCAGGCAGCTGCTCCAAGAAGCTGGAAGCCGTGAAGCTGGAAGCCGTGAAGCTGGAGGGAGCAGGATGCAGTGCCGGTCCAAGACCAGAGGCCTGGAGGCTCCTTGGGGAGTCACTGGAGGGAGTTTAGGGCGCGTGAAATGAGACCTGGAGATCGACTCCAAGGGTGCAGCAGCAAGGGGCAGACCCACCCAGGGAGACCGGAGCCCTTCAGAGAGGCTTGCTCCCTTGTGTCCTTGTTTTATTCCATCCAAACCTGCTCATTGGTTGGTGGCGCCCACATCCCAGGTGGGTCTTTGACCTCTATTTGCTGGCCTCCTGGTCAGTCACCCACAGACACACTCAGATCAGTGCCCCACTGGTCTGCTAGGCGGTTCTTACTCCAGTCAACTGCAAACCATGCTCAGGCGTCACCCAGGCAGGCAGACGCCTCGTGAAGGTTTCCTGTTTCTCGGCACAAAGTGCTTCTCACTTCTCTGACTGCCTCTTCACCTTGAGTGAACGTCTCCTCTGAGGTGACAGCTGCGCTGATGTCTTCTGATACCTGTAGTCATGACATGTTAAAGGCTGTTTAGTGAATTATGAAAGTTGATGTTGTTCCTGACATGCATATATATATTCCTTTTACACAGGGATTGCAAGTCCTTTGTCCTACATGTTACTATCCAGAATTGTTCATTAGGCACCAGGACTTATTTGATTAACTTCTTGCTATAGTTTAGATCTCAGATGTTCCCCCCAAGGGCCCCGTGTCACAGCAGGTGGGGCTTCTGGAAGGTGACTGGTGCTGGGGGCAGTATTCTCCTCTGTGGACTGATGCCTCCCATGGATCAGTACAGCTAAATGTGCTGTTAGTTGAGGGCTGGTAGGAAGAGGTGGTCACTGGGGGTGAGACCTGGACGGGTGCATCTCCTTCCCTGGCTCTTCCTGTAACCCTGTGCTTCCTGGCGTCCACGATGTGAGCAGCTCTCCTCTGCCCAGCCCTCCCACCGCTGTGGGTGTGCGTGTGACCTGCTGGCTGTGGACGGAACCTTCTGAAGCTGTGAGCCAGAATAGACCTCCTCCTGTGAGTCAGGCCTTGTGCCTCACGGATGAGGAAGTGACTAAAACACCCCTCATTCTTGCTTCTTCCCAAATGTGGTGTGAAACAAAACAACATCAGCCAACCTGCCTCCTTTACTGACATGTCAAGTAGCGTCTGTCTCTGCGTACATAGCCTCCTGTGCAGTGAGAGCATCAAAATTAGAAAGTGGGAAATATTGGTACAAAAATGTGGAAAGACGTATTTTGTCTGAAACTGAAGTTTCTAGAGTTCCTTTTTTAAATTTGAGATTTTTCTCTTGAAAATTCCTTAGTCTAGGAATAATGTCATTTTGTATTTTACACAATTATTGGCACTTAGTAACTAACAAAAGCAAGTTACAGCTAAAACATTATATTTTCCAGACCTGCATGTTACTCACTGACTAGGAAAATTGAAAGCCCAGTCTTGTCTCATTTCAGGGACAGAAAACATAACTTGGAGTATTTATCCAGTATTATATGACCAGAGTTTCAAATTTTGACCTATACATGATGATCGTCTTAGCAGCTAATGCAAGGTTAGCTGCTAGTGTACCGTAACTCCTGCAAATTTGAAAAAGAATTTTCTTATAAATTGCTGGCTAAATTATGGCAATCTTGCCCCTGATCATTGTTCCAGGAATAAGAACAAAAGTGATCAGAAGGTAAACTGAGAGTGAGCTGAGACTTTGGTTGTAGTTGTTCTCAGATTGGAATACCAAAAATCAGCTGGAACAGAGAAAATCTCTACTTCCTTCCACAGCAGTTGTGCTAATCATTTTACCAGGATGGAGCGGTGGAGAGGGCATTTTAAAAGCAGACAGCAGAGATGCTGTTTATGATTCTGTTTCCTCCCTGTGCTCCTTGCTTTCCTTCCTCTCTTCCTCCTTCCTTCCCGCTCTTCCTCCTTCCTTCCCTCTCTTCCTTCCTTTCTCTCTTCCTTCACCCCCGTTCCTTTTCCATCATCTTTTCCAAGAGCAGCAAGTCATTGGCACAGAAGAAAATAATAAAAGATAGTAAGGCATGTCGATCCTTTGGTGATGTTGTCCTTCATCTTATTCTGATTTCCTTGCTTATGTCTTTCATTTCCAAAACAAAACAAAAGGTTTAAGAGGTGTAAGTGACCATCAGATTTTCTAAAGATCCATTCAACCTGGGTGTTCTTCATAATCAGCCCATCACTGTCCGGGAGAGGGAAGGCCGCTCCAGCGAGAAGTGTGGTGTAAGACACAGAGATTCCTGTGCTGGGTGTGCTGTGGAGGTCCTCCATGGCACTGTATACTCCCACCGGTGTCAGCGACTAGCAGGGCTCTGTACACAGCCTGGGCCCTGGGCCTCGTGCTGAGCTGCGTTCCTTGGAGGACAGGCTGGCCAGCAGAGGCCTGGGTGCTCCGAGACCATCCTCAGTACCTCTCCTGCTGTCAGGCGTGACAGATGGCTCATGCCCAGAACGTGGAGCTGGGAAGTTTGCCTCTTCAAATCACCCCATTGTGTAATTTAAGCCCTAAACTTAAAACACTCCTGAGTGTTTTGTTTTGAAGAAGGATAGGAATGATTCAGTGCTATATTTCTCCAAGGTAAATTAAGTGCTCGTTCTTATAATTTCATTTGAATAACAGCTTGTAAACTGAGGGCTGGATGAACCCTCTGGAAATGGAACAGAGGAGAGTGAGTAAGCCTTTTCCCCGAGGAGCACTAGTATATTAGTCACTCCATAAAATGCAAATGCTTTTTATTTCCAGAATAATGTGCTGCATCGCTATCGTGGGTGGGTGTGAGGGAGCCCCTCTGCCGCGCTCTGAGGAAGGAAGGCTTTGCAAGATTGCATCACTTGGGGCAAAGCACCCCTTGCTTTTGTGAGACCACGACCCCAGCCAAAAGCGGTCTTGCATTTCCTAAACCATGTACTCAGTGAGTTTGGAACTCAGCGTGCATCGCCTCATCCTGAAGTTCAGGTTGAGCAGTAAATAGCGACAGCCCTGTCTTGGAAGTCCTGAATGCTATGACTTCAAAGAGATCACTTTCTGGTTCTGTACTTTGCGTTTGAGGTCTTCCTGGAACCTACAGAGTTGTGGTGCAATTTAATCAGTGGAAATGAGTTGAGGATCCCAAATGAATGACGCTAAGTAAGATTACAAATGGCTTCTATATTTTGTTCATATTTTTATGAACTATCGTGTTTCTTATTGAACCCATTTTTCTTAGTAAAAGTCATACTATAGCTTTTTCAGAATGCAATTTTCTGGGTCTAACTGAGCTACAGTGGATATAAGATACATCCCAGGAATAAACTATACTTAGGAATCAAACTGTTTTGACATCTGGCTTCATAATTCTTTGTCTGACATGTTATGCACAGGTAGCTCCTACTTTAAAACTGTATAATTCTCAAATCTCAAATAAGTACATTCACGGTAAAATGCCTGATTTAAATTTCTAATCTGAAATTCAGGAGCTAGTTGAATCACTGTTTATTTTCTACAGCATTTTAAAAATTAAGTCTTATTTTCACTTCCTTGTAGTTTGTTAGAACATAAAATCTTAGAAATGGAGGGAAAGCACAAGGAGGAGTTGGATACCTTAAAGGAAGAGAAAGAGAACCTTCAAGGCCTGGTTTCTCGCCAGTCGTACATAATCCAGGAGCTGGAGAAGCAGCTGAGCAGAGCGACCAGCAACAACAGTCTGCTCCAGAAGCAGCAGCTGGAACTGATGGACACAGTGCACAGCCTCGTCAGCCTTTGCAGTAAAGAAGGTGGTAAGAACGTCTTCCTCCTTTTGACTGTGTAAATGTTCTAGTTCATATGAGCAAGCAAAGGTTCAATGCAAGTGTGTTGTGTTAGGCACAGTTATGAGCTCTCTGTTGTCTGTATTTAGAGAGTAAGAGTGTTTTAAGGGGATGTGTGTGGGTGTGAAGCTGACCAGGGAGGTTGTGACCGTTAGTCCTGACCTGTCAACCTCACTGGATTGAGGGACACCTGGAGGATCAGTCCGGTGCACTTCCAGGAGGGTCTGCAGGGTCAGGGACATGTGACTTTGGGTCTGCACCTGGCCCCTCACGTGTTCAGTTCCTTCCTGGTGCTGTTCCCTGCTCTGCTTCCTGGACACCATGAACTGAGCATCTCTGCACCACCAGGCCCTTCCACGATGATGCTTCTGCCTTGGAGACGGCTGACTGTGGACTGAATCCCTGAAACCATGAGCTGAATTAAACCTCTTCTCTTTAAGTTGTGGGTGTCTGCTGCTGTGCCGCAGGGACAGAAAGGCTGAACAGGGCAGCAGTGTCAGAGAGGAGCTAGTCTGGGGCCACACATGACCCCCACGGTCACGTCTCCACCACCCACACAGGGGCACCCAGAAGCACACTTGCGCTCTGCCTGGAACTCCTTCACCAGTGAAGCTGACAGATAACAGTCAGACACCCTTCTTGCTTGTGCTGATTGCTGTGTAAAACAGCAGATGAATTGATTCTTAGCAGCATTCATGAGGTTTAGTAGACAAATTTATGCTTCTAACTTTCAGAGAATGTGTTCCTGAGTTTGTGAATCTACAACATCTTTCTGAGGTTCCATTTATTTCTTCTATTCTTGATCTTAAATACAAGCTACTTCATTGTCGTGCACAACTGTTTCATATTACAGTGTTAGACTTTTAACTATAGGGAAGAAATTAGCCAATGCTGAAGACTAGTTCAGAGGAATCGGGACAGTTTTATAGGTGTTGTCATTTTACAACTAACGCTGAGTGGCTCAGCATTGCCTGCAAAGAAAAGACCACAGCTCCCGATGATCAGGACTGAGAAAGGATGGCTGTTACCAGAGTGTTCACTGTGAACACTTGTCCTTGGACCTGTTCAGAGAAGAATTAATCAAGGTATCGAGTCGTGTTTATTTGGGGCTGTTTTCTCGATGGTGGAAATCAGAAAATTTTATGTCACTGGAGTGGAGCCATGTCCACAAGCGTTGGAACTACCACCAGCCTCTGTCTCCTCAGACACCCATGCGCCCACCGACCCCCACCCCACCAGCACAGAAGCAGGCCCTAAGCACAGTGACTCCTTCTAGCACAGCTCAGCAGGGGCTCTCTTCAGAGCAGCCTCCCTGGGTGCAGGTGGTACCATAGGGGTGGGGAGGGAGACAGAACCACTCACCCGGAGTCGAAGCGTCAGCCCAGAGCTGCAGCTGGTGACCACCCGCAGAGCAGCCCCCTGTATGCGCGGTGCACGTGTGAGGCTCCTTGTGTGTGACAGCGCACCTGAGCCTTGTGAGGACCAGCTCGCAGTCACTCATCCCTGGGCAGACCAGAGTATGAAGACAACTCCAAGGGGGTGGGGATTTAGTTCAGTAGCAAAAGCGCCTGCCTGGCAAGCACAAGGTCATGAGTTCGATTCCCGGTACCAGAAGAAAAACAAACAAACAGAAAAAAGAAAACATGAAGACAACTCCACACTAAGTGCTCTTGCTCGAAGGACACTTCCCTCCTCTCGGTTGCACCCCCTTACCTGGAGTCACATCTCCACTAGACTGTCTAAACAGGCCTATTTGTATATGCTCTGTAGAGTGACATTTTTAAACACTGAGCCCCAGGGCTCCATTTGGGTGTTCTCAGCAATGTGACCGGGAAGGAAAAAACCTGCTCATCAGCCGGAGGCTGCCAAGAGCCGAGTCAGAGTCCACTGGAAGGAAAGCTTGGTAGGGTTTTGCCAGAGAATTTTAATAGAGCTCATGGGGATTTAGAAATTAAGTATTAATATGAGACATATCTATCCTCATATTGAGACGAACACATTTGAGGCAGGGTTGGAAACACGTTTTTCTCATCATCCAGAGACTTAAAGCTTACTGAGTTGGGTAGAGGTGTCAAGCTCTGGTGATTCTCACAGAGCTCATATGTCGGCCTGCTCGTCAGAGTTTATCTGCGTGTTTGACTAAGGGTCTAGTAAATGTGTCTCTACACTGTGAGCGGCAGGGTGTGCAACTTTAAAATTCCTGACTAGGGACACGACAGACATGGATCCATTGATTGAATAGTTACCGTGGCCACTGAATAGCTGTTACCTTTCCTGCCCACTCAGTGTGAGACAAGTAACTCTGTCTACTCTACAATATAGCAGATCTCAAAATAATAACAGTAATAATAATAGCAGTAGTAGCAGTACTAATAGGGACTTAAGTTGTCTAATACTCCAGCCCTGTAGATAACTGTTTGCCATTTAATGATTCAATCGTAAGATAAATTCCGCACTAACCTACAAGATCTGTGACCTTAACGTAAGGATGCGGCCTGATTTTCCAGTAGGTTCTGTGCATTCATAGACAGAGATTGTGCTGTACTTGCTTCCTGTTAATCTGTTTTTCTTTAATTTATGTTATGTATTCAGACTAAATATTTAGTTACCTTAGGCCTTAGACCCAAAACTAGAATGTGGTTCTCAATAAGGTTTCTATCAAAAGATTAATTCTCTGCATATCTTTACTTTCACTACAGCCATAGTCTTCAGTTATTGTGAATTTAAAATTTAAAATGGCTAACGGCATAACACTGGATTAAATATCAGTTACTAAAGTGAGCTTTAATTTCACTGTAATTCTAAAACAGATAAACCTTTCTTTACTTTATAACCAAAACTTTAGCACATAGATTTACTATTTATCAAAAGATTATATGTGTTTACCTTTTATTCATATATGGAAATATTCCAAAATCAACACACCATAATAAATGTATCAAACTGTCTAAAAATATACTTTAAAAATTGCTACTTGAGCTGAAAGGTCTGCTTCAGTTTGACCCAGGTGCCGTGGAGGGAGCCTGAGTAGGACACTGCACAATGCAGGGAGTCTGCCTTGGCGAGTTCTTTGTTACTGGCTGCAAATTTAACTTCTGCTTAGCTTCTGAAGTCAGGAAAATGGTGTCCACTGCTCCTGGGTAAAGAAGGAAATCAGGTGCTCGTATTAAGCATGGAGCATAATACAGGAGACAGTGACCCCAAACTGTAGCTGTCCTTTCCCCTGGGGGACAAGCCAGGGAAATATCTGTTCATCAGGGGCTCTGTAGGAATGAAACTGCTCTTGCAGAAAATGAACACAATACTGTAGACAACTGCCTATCCACAATCATCCAGGCAGCGCCTTGTAGCTTCAGTTTTTTAGTCTCTCAAATTGGATTGTAATATTTGCCTGATAGATTTGTGACACGCAATAAACATACACGACTTTGCGTAGTTCAGAATTGTAAAAGAGTGAATTTGAAGAGCTCTCGCCAGCAAGAAAGAAGTAAGGGAGAGGGCGGATGTGCTCTCTGCAGAGGTCGGTGTTGCCCTGGGATACGTGTATCCACACCCCACCTTTTACCAGTAAATATGTACATCTGATACTCTTCAGTAAAAACATGGGAAAAAGTAAGGGACTTGGAATAAATAAATTACCTAATCAATAAGAACAGATTTTCTACAAGTTCAGTGATGTGTACAGACACAGAGCATCTGTACTTGTTTCTAGTAAACACTCAAAGCACGGTGCTCCTGTCTCTTTTATGCCTCCAAAGAGCTCAGGACGCGTTACAGTTCCCTGAGGAAAGAGTCCCTGAGGATGCTGGGATGGACGCACCTGTCCCTGACATTCCTTTGGTCCAGAGCTGTTTGTCTCTCTTTGCCTACAGCTGAGCTTCCTGGCACTTTCTCCTAAGCCAGCTGATAATATACAGCAGGGTCAAGCCAGATGCAACTAAGAAATGTATTTTCTGAGAACATTCACCACACTCCTCTGCTTGTTTCAAACAGGCAATGGTGCCATCTTAGGCAACTGGTCATTTTACTCCAAACTACGTTCATTTTGTATGACTGCCAGGTAGCACATTTATTTTCATCTCACTTTGGTCTGCAAATACTTGGTCACCTTTTTTCTTAGAAATGTGGCTCACTCAGCTCTGTATCCTCAGTGTTATCACTGTGGCTAAGCTGAGTGGATTTCTTCGTGATTTTGGCAATTCAGCTATGCTGGAACTAGGTAGTTTACCCTGATGATTGGAGGAAAGTTTGCGAAGGTCAAAAGGAGGACAGCTGAGGACTGTAACTGCCCATCCCTGGTCAGCTGTGTACACTGCAGGCTGGGACATCACCACACCTGCTAAACACCTGCGGCAGAAGAAAGGCATGAAGAGAACAAAGGAAGGGAGAAGAAAGAGAAAGGAGAAAGGAAGGGAGGGAGAGAGGGGAGGAAGGAAGTAAAGAAGGGAGGAAGGAAGGAAAGAACAGAGGAAGGAAGAAAGATGGAAGGAACAAAGGGAGGGAGGAAGTTAGAAAGAGAACAGTGCTTAGGCTCTGTCATGAAATGAACAGCAGCAGACAGTTGCTGTCGAGATCAGCCGGGAAAGTACTCCAGCAGCACCAGAATGTGACTCACAATTCATCCATTCATTCAGGAATAACTACAACAACTGTTCTGTTTCAACTTCTCTTCTGTGGGAGAAGGATGCTTATACATTTTTATGTAATGTGTATTCACTAGGATCCTTTGGTGTGCCAGAAACTGCTCAGATCACTGGGAAGAAGAAAAGTAAGCAGATGTATTTGGCATCATGTCATTTAGGCTTTGAGAGGCAGAGAACCTGCTCGGTGACCAGCTCGATTCCAGAACTCACGGTTGTAGGCGAGACGGGCAGTCAGCACCCAAAGGCACATGGGGTGAAGCTGGACATTATGGCAAAGACAGCGTGAAGGCAGGACAGAGCATCTGCAGCCCTCCTGGGCCTGAGGGA